TTTTTTTTTTTTTTTTTTTTTTTTTTTTTTTTTTTTTTTTTTTTTTTTTTTTTTGATTTATTTATTTTTTGTTTTTTTTGTTAAGGTGACGTTTTTGTGAAGATTTTCGCGACTAAAATAAAATTACACTTTTTACGATGCTGGTGCTGGTCACGGATTTACGGAGGCCAGCGCGCTGAGGCTATTGTTGCCGCAGTCTTCATCTCTTCCACGAGTTTATTAAGTATTCTGCTTTAAGTAGTTGGTATGAAGTGTTTTTTTTTTTTTTTTTTTTTTTTTTCATGCATGGCCGATGCCGCTGGCGCGTAATAAACTTCTTTTTTTCTCTCTCTCTCTCTCTCTCTCTCATTACCTTTGTAATAAGATTTTGCGCTGTTGCGTTTCTATTTTTATTTTCCTCGCTCGACGAGAAAGTGCGTACGCGAATGGCATTGTACGCAACGATTGAAAAATTTTCACCGTAAAATGAAATGTACTTTCTTGTTGCTAATCTCATAGTTATTTTTTTATTTTTTTTTTTTATTTATAAATACATTTTTGTACAACCCAATGACACATTGTTCTTGTTATGTTGTTTATTATAATTGTCATTGGCCAGATATCAATAACACTACACTATTTTAATCGATGAATCTGCGTGGACAAACTTGCAAAGAGTTTTTACAAAAAAATGCTGCAGAATAACCAGCCGAAAAGTAATAACTCGATAAATGGGTTTTTCTGTGCAAATAGAACAAACACAAAAAACTTCCCGTAAAACCATTAGAGCAAAGTAAAAAAAAAAAGAAAGAAAGAAAAGAAAGGTAATTTATTCCAAAAGCTCAACCAAAGCTTAATTCTACGCCGCTTTCGTGACGTATTTATGCAAATAATACTCGGATACAATGGTGTACCATCGACTCGCGCATCGAGAGAAAGGCTGTTGTATACCGGAGTATAAAGCACATAATATGTATATATACACCACAAACAGAGAAGTGGAGACAACGACCGGCCTCGTTGTGTGTGGCGTACTCTTGCAACGGAGGGGCACGCGCGTGGGAGAAATAGGAAGTCGCGAATTAAGCCCTAAAATCTGCCTGCATGGGGTACATATTTACATTTTTTTAAATTTTTTTTTATTTTTTTATTTCGCGAGCCTCGTTGCCACCGACAGTGTCAGCCTCATTTCTTTTTGTTTGTTTATGTGCAGGTAAATCTCTGAAATTTTCAATAAAAAAAAAAAAAAAAACAATTTGCAATGTTTGAGAATCAGAGGGCTTTATTATGTATATAACAATTTTTGTTTCAAATGAAAATTTCAAATATAACAATAGCCAAGGATGATACCAATTGAGATGCCACTACCTCCGAGTGATGTGACAATATAATTTATTTAAAAAATGATATGACTAATCTTTGTGAAAACTACATAGAAAAAGCAACCGATAGTATAGCTTAGGATTTCCAAAATTTTCCCACCTACGACAGTTTCGGGTATCTTTTAAAAACAGCTTCAAAGTTTGGACGATAAAGTAAAAAGTATCAAAACATGGGTAAAAGCAACAGAGAAGTAAGTATGTGGTAATGAAGATAAGAAAAAAGTTAACCTCAAGTGATAAGGATATAAAAACATCTTGGAAAATTCGTCTTAAAAATATGTCGCCAGTATAATATATCGCTTGTGTAGATACAAGCTGTCATCACAGTTATTTTGCCAGCAGTCATTTTGGTTGCTAGGAAATTTTTTATTCATCACTATTCGCAAAAGAATATTAGAAGAAATTTTTTTTTTTTTTTTTCTGGCAAATAAGTTTTATAAATGTCAGTTATTACACCTTAATGTAAAGTATTCAACATCAAACATTTAATTATTTTTTCAATAATTTCATCTTTGTTTTCCCTGATTGTTTGTTTGTTTGTTTGTTTGTTTGTTTTTTTTTTTCAAAATTGTATTCAATGCTATTGCTCCGAGCCCAAGTGTCGTATCGTTTTGCAAAATCGTTTGGCCATCAAAAGTTGCGAGAAAAAACATTCACGCGCACGTGGTGACAAAGAGTCCGCGCAAAAACCCCTCGGCTCCATATCAATAATATTTACGCGAACGTTCGGCGTGGCGCGCTTATCTCCAGCAAAACATTTGGTTTCCAACGAAGAAAAGCCGAGGTGAAAAGCACATACACCAAAGCTGAGTCACAGGTGACATTTATGGAGCGAGGAAGAAAATCCTGCGGAGAAAGCGAGCGAAGCCTTTTTTTCTTCATTTTTCCATCCTTATACCATAAATTATCCCGGGAATGACGAAGCGCTGAATAATCCACCGAACAGCCTTTGACGCTCCTCAAGGCTGACCACCCGCCGACCTCTCTCGGTCACAAAGGCATATATATGTATATATATGTATACCTATTTCACGGCACAGCTGACTTTTTTTTTCATCTCGCGCGTCCATCCACGTTGTACACTCGCATGCACGCAACGCGACACCAACGCACTTGATCTATATTCAACGCGTGGCTGATCCCTCGTAACAATGGAATTTCAAGCGTATAGGGGTATTATATACAGGTACACCGAAGGAACGCCACAGTAAGTTTCCTCGTTGTAGGTGTTGAATTTTGTCCCTCGAATGCTGAGACTCGAGGGTACACGCACTTGTGTATACCGTGTACTATAATATGATTTCACTCAACAAATCGGTAGCTATTTTACCGGACAGCCCCGTTATACATACACCTACACGTACATGTTGCCGATCCGTGAATTATCACCTTCGCCGCGATAAGCGATAAGCAACGTTAGGTGGCTATTATTTGTAATACAAGACCAGTTGTTGGAAATTGCACGCGCGACTGGCATTTCGCTGAACGATTAGCAAGCGATTACGTTAATTGATTATGGGATGTCGAGGCCGCTCGTTGGTAAAGAAAAAAAACAAACAAATCAAATGAGCCGACAACGCCCGAGGAACGGGATTCGATGTGTGTGTATAATAACACCATATACAGTACTTATATACATTTATGCAAACATACATGTAGGTATGTGTATATTAAGAGAGACAACGAAGGAAGTAGGTCGCATTACGAATGCACCTGTGCCGCCGATCTCTGTGTGTATATACCGATTTCTTGCATCTTTGTACTTTGTATACACAAGTGCGTGTACATGGCCAGGATATACTTATATTGTGTGGAAAGCAAGTGCACAAGAGTTTGTGTGATGCGTGTATACCATAACTACCGCATATTATGTTATATGAATGTTGCATATAGGAGCCGCGGGAGTGGGACTTTATACTTGGGAATAATATTAACGTACCTTATCTATGCCTCGTTATTGCAGACTCTCCTGCTTTTTTTTTTTTTTTTTTTCCTTATGTTTTCAAGTTAAAAACTTGGCTAGTCAGTCGGTGACAAGGAGAAAAGTGAAGGATGCAAACTGTAAGTTTTTCTTTACTGAACCCTAGTTTAATTAATTTAAGAATTATTTACAAACAATTCGAGGGATCACAGCTATTATGTTCTTAGTACCCAGGAATATTTCTTTTTTGTTTAACCGTAAATTTAAACAAAATTTTTCCTCTCCAAAAATCACAGTGTATTACTTTGAAGTCATGTTAATAAACGGATACAAAATAATTAATTAATTATTAATGCGTTACCTATTCGGAGTGGCGCTATAAAAAAAAAAAAAAAAAAAAAAAAAAAATTTCTACAGGTACACCAAAAGTGTAATCTTGAACAATTGCTGAGTGCAGGCATACGTAACGAGAAAGCGCTTACGCGTACATGTATGTATTATGTTATGCGCTTACAACAAAAAGTATACACCCGAATAACTGTAAATCATTCGACATCATCAGATAGCCACGTTGGAAAATTATTCAGCGAGTCATGCGCATTTATTGTAGAAACGATGAATTAAAGAAAACGCGCAAGATAAGGATTAATACATAATATATATGATGTGCTTGTGCAACACACAAGTACATACGTCGGGGGCAATTTTTTTAATTGAACTGACCGAATGGTTAAGAAATTGTGTGAGATTGTGGGGCTCGTTTATGTTTAGGTGCACTGACTTGTATGGAAATGCCATCGGAGGAGTTCGCACGATGTCTCCGTGACGTTTTCCAGCGTGGAAAAATATTACTTATAAGTACACGGTACGAGGAAAAAGAAAAAAAAACATGTCGGTTCACACGTGCGTGCATTATGTACCAAAACTGGATATTGCATTTACTTACGCGCGAGAGGTGCACGTACATAACTGCAGAGTGATTGAAAAGGAACTTCGGTTACGTAACGTGGTTGGCTTTTTTTCCCCTTTTTTTTATTAGTCAATAAGACACTATAACGTTAACAAACACAATACAGGTGTCTCGATATAATATATGTATATAAAATATTATAATTCTTGCAAAAAAGTGAAAAAGTCTAAAAACCGGTTTTTTTGTTTTCGTTTCAGGAGCTTCGATCGAGTGACAGAGGAATAATCGCAAAAGATGAGGAATTCGACACTTTTGAAGTGGGCGCAAAATTCGGCCAACAATAAAAATCAGCAAAACAAAAACGGAGGTAAGAAAAAAAAAAAAAAAAAAAAAAAAAAACAACGCTTCCGCCCAACTTTGATGATGGACGGTGATGTTTCCAGAGATACACTCATCTCGATACGCGAGCAAAAGCGTTTAAAATACTCGTATAGTTTCTTCGAAGTAATCGCAAATGCCTTTCCATTAGATCATCGTTGCAAAGTTTTCAAGGTTTATTGACGCGTCCTGAGAGCTTTTATCCATGTCATTGTCGAATCACCACGCGGGGACTTATCAACGCTTTTAAAAAACGTACCGGAGATCGAACGACACGATAAATGATGGAAAACCTTTTTTTATTTTCCAATCAGTGAATGCACAACTTTGACTTTAAATAATGTGTAAAAACATACGGTCCTTGGGGGGGGAGGGAACACCATAAATTGCGCTTTTCTCTAAACGCGCGCGAACGATTGCTGTGAGCGTCAACGTCGAGCCGAAGCGAGAGTGTCAACGCTTACGTTATTTATGCAAGGTTTCGACGGGCGTGGTTTCAAACGCTTACGCGTATACATATATTATGTAGTATATTTAACTACGCGTAATAAGAATTACCAATGCCAATTACCATTACGCGCGACGCGTACACCTTAGGCGGGATGCACAATCATTTGCGAGTGCAGAGAACAACGAGAGTGAGATAAAAAAAAAAGGTGCGATTTTTGGTTGTTGCAGGTACCGGGAGAAACTGGATACACCCACCGGATGCGCTTCAGAAAGGCCACATCGCTTACCTAGTCAAGGTGGGTACACGTGCGCGTGTTTCTATTGTTTGATGGTGCTCCTCTTGTTGCGCCCCGAGCTTTAAATAGCGATTTAACTGCGCGGCAGCTCCGAGTATACGTCTCCGACACGCCGAACGACAAAACAACGGCCGGTGTAGAAAAATAGATGATGCAGGCGGTTGTCTTTTTTTTTTTTTTTTTTTTTCCTTCCGATGCTATTGTCCATTTGCCCATTTACCAATTGATTTTGTATCGGTTTGGACGAGGTGACGCCTTGATTTAGCGAAACAACAACCAACGATTAGCGTTAAACATTTTAGGAGTTACCGTTTCAAGACGTACAATCGATGATTATCAATGTCGCGTTTCATAATACACGGCCCCCCCTACGTGGGACTCTTTAGTTATATATATAGTGATGATGGCACGTCATCAGGGAAGTCCGCAGTTTCTTCTCGATTTTTGGTCGTATTTCTACAAAAATTATATAACCGCAGAAGAATAGTGATGTGTTACGTCGTTGTTTACTCCGACTGGCCGTAATAACCAATCCAAAATGCTCTATGTTGATTATTAGCACTAAAAACTATAAATCGTTTATTATACGTTGATTTCTTTCAAGTAAAACCAGGTGTAGAGACCTGATCTCTGCTATCGGTAGATGTTTTCGTTATACTATATTCAATCGAAAGTTACGTTTGTGAGAATAATTGGAAATTTCCTTGCACACGCGTTTGATAAAAATGTCCACATTGTGCCATTAGCATTTAAAAATGCACGTATCGTTAAAGAGGACGTTTCGAGAAGATAATTGTCGGTGTGATTACCGGGTAATCGTCAGCGAAAAATGATCGGCTGCAGATGTGATTCGCAGAAGAGGAAATAAATCGTGGGTAAGGACGACAGCAGCTTCAGGTGGAAAAAAAACGAGTGTACGGGTATAGAAAGGCACTTTTCGCGGGAAGAAACCGCGTGAGATATATCCGTCAAGATAATTGAGAACAATGGGCTCTTATGATGTGCAAGTCGCACAACACTGTATCTCGTACATGGTCCCGCGTTTTCATACAATATGCGCGTTTCCAGAGCCGTGGACCTCTCTCTTTTCATCGTGTTTTACCCACTGCCGCACTGCGCCCTTCGCTATTGTTTTAGCTTTTTCACGGCATTGATTGAATTTTGTTAGTGAAATAGTTGTGACATTTTCATACTTTAGCAAATATATTTATTGTTCACGCGAAGGGCCTTTTTCCCTTTATACAAAGCAAAATTGTAATTTCCGATTGTGTTTTCATGAATTGCAAAGATCAAAGCTTTTCACCTGCATGATATGCATTAATAAACATATATGTGTCCGTAAAATGTACAAAGCATCGCGAATACATTACGTTCAATGTGATGAGTCTTTGTTTTAATGAATTGCCATTTATGCACCAGAATGGGAAATAATGCCACGTTTGGGTTGGTTTGTATGTTCAGCTGCCAATAATGCGCGTTCGTTACATGCTGGCGAGTTGTAAAACCCGTTTGATCGTTACATAGTCACGCTTGGGTATTGGTCAATTTTCCTTACTATTAATACCGTGCATAGTATGCATAAAAATACAATGGTCACGATTATACTATCGCCGAAGTGTGATATTCCATTGTTTTTTGTTACGTGTCGTACGAGAAAATTTTGTTAATGATAACGGGTACACGTGTTTTTTGTGCCTAAATTCAATTCGAACAATTTTTACTTGAAGAATATTCTGAAGTCTCTGGGAAGACTATCATACAATTAAAATTACACTCGAGTAATTTTTTTCCTAGGTTGTAAGCCAGTAAAAAAAAAAAAATATTCTTCTTAAACTAGTTTAAAAGCAATTTTGTCATAAGCAAACAATTTTTTTTTTTTTAACAATGACATACTCATAAGATGATGAACACAATGATTAGATTCTAATTAATTTTATTTATGATTTAAATTAATTTTTTTGAATGAAATTCAATAACTGATATCAAACACTGCTGATGATGGCGATAAAAGAAAGAAAGAAAGTTACACAAACGACTACTTGCACATCGTGTTAACATTTATTTTAAGATTCTATAGAAAGTATCGATATATCTTAGTAACAAGTTCCTAATGTAGGATGTATATTTACCTTTACGAAAAACACCTAGTAAAATCCCCCAGCAAAACAAATAAATTTTACGAAGAAGAAGAAAGTTATGAAAATCACGACAAATGGTATATTCGACCCATATAACACACACGAAGGTATAGGCAACCAAGGAGAAATGACAATATTGCAATGATATAAAAAAAAAAAAAAAAAAAAAAAAAAACGCCCATATAATTATATGCACGTGCCCGTACTTACAGTTAGAAGCAATACGTTGAGCTCGCGAAGAGAAAACGCAGCGAAATCGCGCTCTCGCCAACATAATATACATAGGTATCCATACAGGTACAACGCGTATGATAATGAGATTTTGCAGTAGGTATATAGGCTCGCGAGGACTTGACACGCCAACTATAAGAGTACGAGCGTGCATCATTTGCGAATAGAAAGCAAGAGCCAAGCCGTATTTGTTCTTTTTCTCCCCCTTCCTGTCGAAGCACAAGTTGGTCTAGTTTTTCACTGCAAACGTTGCCGATCTCGCAAACTTCGAGTCAACAACATTGTCCCAAGCACTTCGGCGCGAGCAATCATTTTCCCTGGACTCACGAAAGCAATGGATCACTCGTTCTCCAAGTCTCGGACCCGAGCGTGGAAAATCGAGCCAAATATCGGTACGCCAAAAGGGAGCTCTTGAATATATTCATTGGCACGAATTGTTTTTTTGAGAAACGAAGCTCAAGCGAGTCGGAACACTCGTGGGGTATACGTCATCTCTGCAGCCACAAAACAAAGGAGGGAGGAAGCGATTGCGCGATTCGGCCCATGGAGCACATGATATGATCCGATCGCCGTGTGGTCGAGAGATGGCAATTTGCGCGAGCAATGGGCTCCAGCTACGAAAATCGGTTCTTCGAAGCGCTTCGTCGCAAAATCTTGGAAGTCGCGCAGACGCTATACGCGTCGTACCCCATTCCGCGAGTAAGTGCACTCGGAAAACAGGTCGATCGGATCGAATATGTCGCCCCGAGCGGATTATTCGCTCCGGCAATGATGTCGCAAAGCCAACGCGGAGCGGCATTTCTGTCCTATCGAAGCAAGTTTTTCAAGTGCCGTCTCTCTCCCTCCCTCCATGCCATCCACGTTCTCTGCGTACGGTGTAGCTATCTTTGTGTTTGCTGTACTGGATATCATATGCCTATTCCTGTTTGCTCGTCGAAAATACAAGGAAAACGGGGGCTTCTTCTTTTTATCTTCCCGATCCTAGCTATCGATCGCCACCTCCCGATAGTCTTCTCATCTATACAGATCACGGAATATGCCGGATGTGTTTTTTTCACGTATACTCGGGGAAAAAGAAAAAATGAGTCAAGCGCCATTTTCATTCAACAATGCGAGGTAATTATTATCGATGTTCCCAAAAACTATGATGGGGGTGATATGGGTACTTTACTCTCTAAGAGGATTGTCGAGTTAAAAATTAATTGTAACGAGTATCAACACAAAATTTGCACCACTATATAATATGATGTATCATTTGTGCATTATGAACGAAATAAGGTCGTTTCGAGACGAGTGCAATTTAGGGCGGAGATCGAAATTCCGTGGGCGAGAGAAAATCTGAAGGAGCCCGTAGTTTCGGCTTGTTGTAAAATAACTATAATTATATTGGTGATAAGTTTGAGTAAATCTCGATGAGATGAACATAATATTATGTCGTGTGTTTGCGCAGTATCTCGGCAGCACCGAGGTGGACCAGCCGAAGGGCATCGAAGTTGTCAAAGATGCAATCTGTAAGCTTAAGTTTAATCAACAAATCAAGAAGAGCGAGGGAACGAAAACGCCGAAGGTCGAGCTAACCATCAGCATCGACGGCGTTGCCATTCAAGAACCAAAAACCAAGACCTCCCCAAAGGTACGAGGATTGCCAGTTTGTTTTTTTTTCAATTTTTAATGGTTTTCGACACGCGACATTTTCCGTACAACTGACGAACCGATCTTGGACAAACAGCGAATCATGCACCAGTACCCGCTGCACCGGATCTCCTACTGCGCGGACGACAAGGGCGAGAAGAAGTTCTTCAGTTTCATAGCCAAAGAGGAGGACGCGGAGCGGCACACGTGCTTCGTCTTCGTGAGCGACAAGCTCGCCGAGGAGATAACGCTCACGATTGGCCAGGCCTTCGATCTCGCCTACAGGCGCTTCCTCGAGACTTCGGGCAAGGATCTCGAGGCCCAGCGGCGCGCCATGGTCCTCCAGCAGAAGATCAAGCGGCTCGAGCACGAGAACAACGTCTACCGGCAGCGCCTCCAGGACGTGGCTGGCATCAAAGGCGCGGTTCGTACCTTTTTTTTCCTTATCCACCATGTTTTTTTCTCATCAAGACGTCACAGTCAACAATATTGTGAGTCTGATCCTATGGTCGAGAATCGAGTTGTATCAGTGCAACGTCTTTTTTTTATATCTCTCGATTTGCATGAATTTCTTCAATCCGTCGGTACATACCATACAACCACAATGTCCTTTTTGTTTTTCAGGCCGACATAAGCTCTTATCTGGCTCAGCACGACATCCCCGACATTTTGCACGTCCCCGATCAGTCGTTGGCACCTTCTTCGTCGACTGGAAAGGAAAGCATCCCGCGAGTTAACGGCAGCGCAGGGAAACTCTTCATCAATTCCAGTGCTGACACCAACGGAAATTCATCCAATGGCACCCAACTGCCGCCACCAGTTCCTCCGAGAAGTTTTGAGAAATCTTTCGACGACAACTTCATGGGGTAAACACTTTGTGGGTCAATGCTTTTTCTGCAGACCCTGATTTTATCTCAAAATTCATTAAAAATGAGGTGAGACATGCTACGTGACTGACATTTCGTGAATTTTCTATAGGAGCGAGTCCTCGTCGCCCCGAAATTCCACTAGCGGGACGAAAACCGAAGGACTTTTAATCGATGAGTTTGACGAGGAAGACTTCAATCCGCGAGCTTTTGAGACTTGCTTCAACGGAATCTCCAACCACTTGTCGAACAACAATCTGTCAAATGGCCAAATCACCGCAGGGGCCATTTTTACACAAACAAACGGAATCAATTCTCCTCCTCTGCGTGAGTATTGCGACATTTCAATCAATCGTAATTTACTAGTTGACAAGGGAAAATTGAACACAACATTTTAGGATGTTTATACCTTTCAAAAACTGAGTACATCAATAAGATGGAATGAAGAGCCAGGGATCGGTATGAACTTTTTTCACATTAATCACTGAATGATTATAGCCGTCGACCTTACAAATCAATGAATTTAGGAAAGGTCAAGGTTTTAGTTGGAAAGATTGATTGAAACTTTTTTTAACTAAAAAAATAAAACAATAAAAAATAAAAAAAATTGTTTGCTAAAATGGTAAACTGCAGGTATTATCCAGACATAGTTTTATTTTTGATAAATTGATATTTATTTGACTTGACAGCAGTTTTTACTGAGCAGGCAGTAAAAATCACTGCTCTCGTGATAAAAAATTACTATTTAAAATAGTAAAAAAATAATAATAATGACAATAATTGCACAATCAGTAAAAAATAATGTAAAAAAAGCATAAAGTCCTCAGATTACAGAATAACACCGATTTATTAATATTTCAGCAATAATTTTTATTGCAGTAGCGAGTTAAACACAATGTCGTGGTAAAAGCCTAACGCGTCTCTTACGAATAGTTTAAAAAACGCACAACGGGATAATCATCACCTAAAAATGATCGGTAAATTTTCCAGTGGCCCCACCACCGAAGGCTAAAGACTCGAGGAGGCAAAACGGAATGAAGGAAGACTTGTTTGGCAGCGTGCCTTTCAACCCGGCACCCAATTCGACGAAAAACGACTTCAAAGATCCATTTGAGATGGGCGAGTTTGGAGCCTCGACTGTGCGCTCGCCCACGCACCAGGAGCTCGAAAATGCCATTGGTCTCTTGGACAAACGATTACTGGAAATGAAGGTTGGTTCGAAATTCTATCCAATGTTTTTGTCGTGGTTGCGGTGGGACGTTGTCATCTCGACAAAAGCAACGTATAAAACAGATGGTCAAGTTTATTGTTGTTTCTTTTCCAGGATGGCTTCAGCCGGGGCCTTTCCATTGGAACGGATGACTTTTCCCTGGAAAGCCTGGATCCGTTGAAAAACTGAGTAGGAACAATTGAAAAGCTAATGGGTCGCGAGGAAGGCTAAATGTAATGTGATACGTGACGAGTGATAGAAAGACAAGGAGATAACGAGAGGATGAGAAGTAAATCGTTCCAGACCAGTTGCAGTTGGGATGGGTAAAGACGAGAGGGTATTGAATGTGTACACCAATTGGATATGATGAGTCGTGCACGTGAAACCAAAATTAGTCAATTTATTATTATTAACGCTAAACATATATGAATATTTATGATTGTGGGAGTCCGATATTTATTATGCAAATGTCAATTTTGTGTTTACTTTATTCGCCCCCCCCCCTTCCCTCCCTCCCGGAAAAAGTGAAATTTAACGATCAATCGAACCTTATTTTAATACATCGATAGATGACAATTGATAAGGTATTTAATCACAACCAGGCAAATGCAATCCTTCGTGAACAAGGTTTGATCGGCGTTGGCGCACTCGATTTTACCCAATGACCACGAGCAGCCTTTTCTGAAAAATAAATAATTCCTTGATGCTCGTTTTTGCAGTAGTCAGCCAGTTTTTAGATTAAATGTTTTTCCTCTGTCAAAGTCAGTAGTGCCCATTACTTGTTAAAACGGATAATATATAATAAATGTATCATAATTATCCTGACTCACCATTTTTTTTTTTTTTTTTTTTCCTTCCGATGCTATTGTCCATTTGCCCATTTACCAATTGATTTTGTATCGGTTTGGACGAGGTGACGCCTTGATTTAGCGAAACAACAACCAACGATTAGCGTTAAACATTTTAGGAGTTACCGTTTCAAGACGTACAATCGATGATTATCAATGTCGCGTTTCATAATACACGGCCCCCCCTACGTGGGACTCTTTAGTTATATATATAGTGATGATGGCACGTCATCAGGGAAGTCCGCAGTTTCTTCTCGATTTTTGGTCGTATTTCTACAAAAATTATATAACCGCAGAAGAATAGTGATGTGTTACGTCGTTGTTTACTCCGACTGGCCGTAATAACCAATCCAAAATGCTCTATGTTGATTATTAGCACTAAAAACTATAAATCGTTTATTATACGTTGATTTCTTTCAAGTAAAACCAGGTGTAGAGACCTGATCTCTGCTATCGGTAGATGTTTTCGTTATACTATATTCAATCGAAAGTTACGTTTGTGAGAATAATTGGAAATTTCCTTGCACACGCGTTTGATAAAAATGTCCACATTGTGCCATTAGCATTTAAAAATGCACGTATCGTTAAAGAGGACGTTTCGAGAAGATAATTGTCGGTGTGATTACCGGGTAATCGTCAGCGAAAAATGATCGGCTGCAGATGTGATTCGCAGAAGAGGAAATAAATCGTGGGTAAGGACGACAGCAGCTTCAGGTGGAAAAAAAACGAGTGTACGGGTATAGAAAGGCACTTTTCGCGGGAAGAAACCGCGTGAGATATATCCGTCAAGATAATTGAGAACAATGGGCTCTTATGATGTGCAAGTCGCACAACACTGTATCTCGTACATGGTCCCGCGTTTTCATACAATATGCGCGTTTCCAGAGCCGTGGACCTCTCTCTTTTCATCGTGTTTTACCCACTGCCGCACTGCGCCCTTCGCTATTGTTTTAGCTTTTTCACGGCATTGATTGAATTTTGTTAGTGAAATAGTTGTNATAACTTTTCAATGTCAGTATTTTAATGTTAATATGATGTAGAAGTTTTTGTCGATAAGCATAAAATTTTAACTAATTTGGCACAATCAATATCGACGTAATATTGCTTCAATACTATAATATTTCAGAAATATTATACTACGTATAATTCATCACCAAATTTTTATATTCAAGAAAATATTAATGCGAACGTGTGACAGCATGTAATATACTGAAATTTTTCTGCATACTTTGAGCATATTGATCCCATGATAAATTTACTGTAACATGTTCATATGTTTCTTCTAAATAATTATATCGTTGTTATGTTATAGATTGCAATAATACTAAGAACGATCATCACTGTTGAATATCCGTCAGATAATTGAACAAGTGGATACATCTAATATTGGCAATTTTTCAATTTACAGCAATTTCGAGAGAGTAGTAATACAGAGCTGGGATTCATGGGAGCACCAGATTTAAAAGCTATGAGCATTGAAGAAATTGATGATAAATGTGCCAAAAATAACAATTATATGGACCTATATTGAAGAGATCAAATAGGAGAATAGTATAGGCCATAGAAGAAATGGCCAAATAATCACAAAATCGAATGTTAACGTATAAAAAAAATTCTTGATTAATGTCGTTCTGTTTTGTTAAGAAAAACGTTTTGGTGTATATTATTTGTAATTAACAAGGTTACACGGAAAAGAAAAAATATGATTAAAAAAAATTTTTCCATCTAAAGATGCTTTTATACATAAAAAAGAAAAAATAATCATAATCGGAGCTTTTAGTTGTATAAAAACTGACATAAAAATATAACCAATTGGTTGTTAATCGAAAATTTTATTTGAAAAATTCTGGTGGGTACAAATTTTTAATAAAAAGGGTGGCAAACATCGTTTTGCTCTATACATAATTTAAGTCGCTAAACGAGTTTGCTGAATTATTGTGAATGGGAAGAGATCACGCTTCAATTTATTTAAAAAATTATGTGAAAAAAAAACAAGCAAAGATAATTATTGAATTGTTGTGTATTTTTTTTAAGCTCTACTTCAGAATTATTACCCTTATTTGTGCATTAGTTTCGTGTAAAGATGTTGTGTCGGTACTTATCTATGAATGTATGGTTATTAATTTTCAAAATATAGGACTAAACACATCTTTTTACATGCAAACTGATGCGTGCAATGATTATAGGTTGACTATTGTGTGTTTAAAGTATATAGTTTATTATTTTTTGTCAATGAAATCAATAAATGAAATAAAATACATACCTACAGATGCAGTAGCAGGTATTTTTTTGATAATACTTATTATTATACCAACAAATGATGTAGTAGTAAAATCTCTCACTGGTTATTGGTAATAGGTACCTACCTACCTACTTCAAATTTTCTTCACAACGTGCACCTAGGCAACGTACCTAGGCATTGTTTTCTCAGCTTTAGAAATTTGTCTCTTTATATTTAATTGAATTTTTATTGACAGTTGACGTTATATACTTACTTACGAGTAATCTATTTACGTTGACACGGTTCATCCATTCGTATCGTTAATTTGTGAATCATCACTTTAATAAACTGTACATAATTTTAAAAAATGCCACACGAGCGAATCACTCCGAGGGACCGACTTCGCCTTCCGCACACTAGCAAATACAACCAATATTAACTATACGTAAAGAATCGTAAAACTTAAGACTGTGTGCTTCTTACCCCTACGTATTATTTTATATTTTAAAAAACAACACATTCATAAAATACGTAACCTCACCACAATACGTAATTACTATACATTTGTAAGCAGATAAGCCTGCAGTATTCAGTATTATTACGTCTTACCTATATCGGCTGTTCGCAGAGCTTCGGAGTGACGGAGTTCGGAGTAAACCATCCGCGAGGTAGTATATATTTTGTGTATGTGTATATCTATACCTGTAATACTCAATAAATCAAGATTTGTTTACGCCTATATATACCTAAGTTCTTTGTAGACGGCCTTGCCCGACGACGTCCGAGTGTCGACGATCGCTTCCTTCGTATATGACTCCCTCTTCCTCTCTCGCGTTGTATGTATCACTGGCCCCTTCTCTCACTCTCTCTGTCTCTTTTCCCCATATGGAATGCGCGTGCAATACTGCATACGTGTTGGCCAGCATTGCCAGCAGCCAGCCCGTAGCGTTTATAGTGACTTTAGCATAAGTTTAGTTGTACCTGGTGTTTCATCACCATCCGTACAGTTAGTAGTAACCCTTACCTACGTATCTTTGATTGTACTATCTATACCGCGTATCATTCGACCACTATACCATTGCACCAGCAGTATATTTGGCACTCTTGACTCCTGACTGACGTGCATCATCTCCAGCGACATTATCAATCTATATATAATTATACGTACACCTATATAGCAACTGTAGCAAGTGCTGACAGTACTTACACTCGCTTTTCAAAATATAGGTACAAAGGCAGACAGTCACTAGCACCAAGTATAGTACTTAGTTCTCTTACTGCGCTGCAAGTGCAATTAATGCAAGGAGGAATCGTCGAGACGAGTCTTAACCAGCAAAGTTCCACGAAATCAGCAAGGGTGGCTGATCACATCGCAAGGATGACTCTCGCGGAGCATCAGCCCGAGAGGCCCTTCGAAGACGAGGAGGAAGAGGAAGACGAGGAGGAGGAGGAAGAAGAAGAGGAGGAGGAGGAAGAGGACGACGATGACGACGACGAGGAGGAGGAAGAAGATGAGGATGAGGAGGACGACGAGGACGAAGATGAGATGTGCGGAGCTACGGGGCCGGGTGGCCGGGCTCTTGGATCTCTGGGCGACTTGTGCTGCGCCCCTCGACACGCCTGCTCCCGGGGCGGGGGCTGTCCGTCTGTCGCTCAAGTCCGTGACCTGCCGCACCAGCACCATCATCACCAGCCCGAGCCCGCTCGGCCCAGCAGTAGCAGTAGCAGCACCTGCGCCCTCCTAGGTCGCGTTGTCGAGAGCCGCAGGAGTCGTCGCGCCGCCCGGATGGCTCGGCTCGTCAACATTTGGAACGACAAGGACAAAGGAATCAAGCTCCAGCCGAAGCAAATGCCCCTCATCATCGACGAGAACCTCAAGGTAAGAGAGCCCTCGGGTATCCGCTGCTGCTGCTGCTTCTCGTAGCCTCCTACGTCTACCCCGCCCCAATTCCCCCTCTGAACCCTTTTTGCACCAGCTCATTGTGCTTGCTCTCAGTTCGGCCTACGGTGTTCATAATCGGCCAACAACCCCCTTACGTAAGGAGGGCCCCCCCCGTGATCACCGTCCTCGGCGCAGTAACAGCAGTAGTTCCGCGTTCGTGGCGAACTTAACCTCTCTCCGGGTCGAGAGCGAGATGGAGCTATGGAGCGCGCCTCGTTGGCACACCTACTTCCCGAGCGCTCCATCTTTCTCCCTCGCGCTTGCTCTTTGCTTTGCTTTTCTTTTTTTTTTCTAGGCTGACTCGTCTTCGCAAACGTGTACGTTCATACGCCTGTGCCCTGCATATGCCTTCGCACCCGGGTTTGGCAGTCCGTCTGATAGTGGGTGGAGGCCTCGGTAGTACCTCTACAAGGGCCACTTAAGTTCTAATGTTTTTTTTTGTCCCTCCGCGAACATGCCACAAGTATCTACTTGCCCGTACTTACCTATATACCTACTCATTTCTTTTCTATAGACCTTCAATGCAATATGGAGCACACTTAGTCTTCCTGCTGCTACTTACCGTATTTTCTTTTCTTTTTTTTGCATTCGTGCGTGCTTACAGGGACCTGTCCCTACATAAATACTTACTTGGGTGAAGCTGTAATTTTTCGCGTATATGCGCAAGCTGATGGGTCACCTCGTTGTCGACGTTGCTGCTGCTGCTATCTTCGCGAATGGCCAATCATGTTTTACTAGCCTATAAGCCCCGTTATATTATACACTCACTTTACACGCACTCTTATGCTTATCCGCATTTCGATGCGCACAATATTAAGTACTACGTATTTACGGTACACCTACCTATATGCTTTTTCCATTACATTTTTCCATTCGCTTGTGTTGAAGCTTGAAAAAAAAATTGCATGGTGTGATCTTTGAAATTATGATTTTAGATGATCATGGATATCACGGGATTGAAAGCTTTGCGCGAAAATCCTCTGGTCCAGGGAAAACAGCTGGAAGAGTTCACAAAGAAGTATAACCTGCTCAGCATGGAAGAAAGAAAAGTCTCCTTTGAAGTTGCCTGCAAAGATATATTGAGCGTCGTTGATCAAACTGTTCCATGCATCGGTTGTAGAAGAAGGTTCGTCTCTTGCTGCCTCTCAACTCAACTGTAGCTATCATCACCTTTCAATAAATCAAATTTTTTGGTATTTCTTTTTTTTTTTTCAGTGTGGAGAGATTGTTTTACGACTTAAGTAGTTTAAATGGTCATCCAGCATTAGATCCAATCACGATATCTTACAATGGCTTGTTAACAATAAAAGATGAAGTCTTGCAATCTCCTCAAAGATTGTGTACATTACTGCAAGGGCACAGGTAAGTGTTTTAGTCATACACTAGCACGTACACGTGTGCACACAGTGATATCAAATACATTTTTACCTGTGTGTGTCAAACGATTTTTTCCATAACGTAATATGCATCTATTGTTCCGTTGCTCTCAATCGTTATTGAACATTTTTTTTAATTTCTAATGATTTAATTGTAGCTAGTGTTATTTGTTTCTTTCTATTACGATTTTGTTAATGTTTCTTGTAGTCCAATTAGTGATTGATAATTTTGAATGTCTTTATATTAAAATAAGACATTCAGACTGAGTAACAACTTAGTTGTTAAACACATGGATGTTTTTTGAAATGATCTAACATTTTTTAACTGTATTTAATTTTTTTGTGCGAAATGAATTGAAATACGCTGCTCAAAATTAAAATGACAAGAATGCAGTTTCATCCTTGCACTACAATGATCTTTAGTTAAAATAGAAAGTAAACTATCTATATTTTCTTCAATTCTGCAAACATTTTCACTACATGCAAGAGTGTTGTTGAAATTAAATTAACATCAAACGAGTGCATTGTTTCATCATTTTTCAGCACAAGATTAAATGAGTTAGTGGATCGTCAACCACGAAATAAAAAGTCGCGCAGATGTGTCCTTCATTCTTTGGAGGTGCAACGTATGAGACCTCCACAAAATGCTTGGAGAGAAGTGTGGGATTGTATGGAATACGAGTGTTTAAGAGAAATTACTTACATTGACTCTGACACATTAGAAGCAACTTTGAATACGTATCTTCGTAAACACAAGTATACATTTTATGTCAATCTAAAACTTTGGTTGTGCTTCCTAAAAAAACGACTTACATTCAACCAATCAAAAAGGTTTACGCTTTAAATACTCATAAAACTATTCAAATATTTTAAAATTATAATTAAGTCGCATTAAATTGTATGCTGGAAAGGGCGATTTGATCCCTTTTTTTATTGACTCTCGTGGAGAGTATACTTTTTTTTTTCACCTAATGCATCTGCTCTACAAAAGCATAAGTAAGAGTTTCAAGACGGTTTCAACACATGTAAATTAACCACCACTTTGGTGTAGCGTACCGCGTTCTCATAGTAATAATGCAATTATAAAACCATAATATTAACCGTCAGTACGTCGTTTTGAGGAGAATATCCAAAGCTTTTTTCAATACCCTTAAACATTTATTTCCTATTTATAGTAAATATTTTTCATAGATTTTGTTCGGATTGCCGTACGAAAGTACTTTTGGCTTCGTCATTATTAACAACTGAAAGTGACCCAACAAAAGAAAAGGGTTATGTCAGTTCATTATATGCCGATATACAACGCTGTACAGGAGGTCATGTACACTTGCCATTGAACACTGAATACATTAGTTCTATAATTGGAAGAGCACAGCCTGATATCATGGGAAGGTATAAATCACATTTTGACTTGTTTTGAAAAGTACCAAGCAATCTACAAAGTAAAAATGATTGAATATTCATTGCAGAGAAAGACATGCAAAAACTTTGGAAATTGCTCAAGAAGAAGTTCTCACGTGCCTTGGGATATGCGTAGCTGAACGTTTAAATAGAATTTATCGGCGTCTTAAAGAACAAGAAACTATGGTCAAGGTATTGGCTGCAGTGGCAGTGGATACACTTTCAAGAAACTTCCAAGTATGTGTTTATTAAATTTTTTCTTTATTAAGGAAAAAAAAAAAAAAATCGCGGCTCCTGATAAAAAAATATTTATATTATTAATTTAAGATGGCAGTCGATTACAAGCAAGGAATAACGCAACTTGAAGTTCTTTACAAAGAGTTTAAAAGAGAGGAAGTAGCTAAACAGCAGCGTCGTGAAAAGTTACGACTCAAGAAGAAGAAAAAGAAGGAACGTCGTGCTGAAACAGAAGGAAAGGAAAATCAGTGCGAAGAAAAAGAAGATAAGTGTGAGGTATGCTATTTAAGTAATAGTACTATAAAATTTATTTTAGTAAAATTAGTTTAGCCTAAGACAAGTTAAATATTACATAACAAGTCTCATGGCTGAAATCAAAGACAATATCAAAATACAATATTCAGTTGCGTAATATTATCTTGAATACTTGTCACACACATTGCAAGAAAAAAACAATTAAGTCAATATGCCATTTTTCGTCTAACTGCTGTGTTGTAATTTTACAAAAAATATTAGCCATATGAAATACTGTAGATTGTCGTATCTATACACTACAGAGTAAATGCCAACGTTTACATTATATCTTGTATAATTTCAAGACTGCTGCTTTAGATGGTAAGGTGATAAGTATAATTGACATAAGTTTTAAGATGACGGCAATGATTTTTGTAATGTAGCAAAATGAAACTTGTTCCACTTTTGATTGTAGATTATTTAACTCCTGATAAGTGAGATTGTTAGTCATGAGCATTATAATCGAATAAACTAAACATATACACTCATGTTAAGCTCACGAATATTGACAGAATCGGATATCGGATTTTTAAAATATTTTTACGGAAATCAAATTTAACAACGTTGACCTGTTGTCGAGTGCCAATAATGAAAGTAAATTTTTGAACTGGTATAATAATGACAACTTTTTTTAAGTGCCCACAGGCAGATGCTGATGAAAAAGAAGTAAAAGAATCTTCTGTAGCCGCATCTCTCAAGCCAGAACTCGAGCAAGACTGTATCGACCGACACAAGGTATGTGTGGTTATTTCAAATCGTGACTTTGTAGATAATCAATTAATAATAAATTTGTTAGTGCATGTAATAACGTACAAAGACACTACAGTTCGGTTTGCACTCGAGATTTTTCTCAGATAAATCCACCACAATTATCTATATTTATTATATAAGAGTATACGCGTGTACACAAAAATGACAGTTTACAGCCAATGAATATTTTGATTTGACTTGAAGGTCATTCCAGATCTTGTATGATATTTATTTTTTTAATTAAATTTATCAGCTTTGAAATTTTACTCATTTTTTATCTTGAAAATTAATTCTTGTGGTGTTAGCTTCATGAAATAAAAAACTATAGAAATTAATAAATTGTATGTCAGAATGTAATTGGGTAACGTGAAATATTTTTCGTTTATTCTTAAAACGGGAAGTATGCCTCTATGAACTGTTTGCTGATAAAATATAGTAAAACCTAACCTTCTTTATGATCAAATTAATTAACGTACGAACTATTGATCTTCAGTTGCAGGTGTTGGATCCAAAAATGAAAGGACCGCCAACTTGCAATTGTCCGGACTGCGCAAAAAAATCAAAAAACTCCAACCAAGCTCAAACCATTAACCAATGTGGAGCTACTAGCACGCCCAGCAAAAAAGACAAAAAGAATAAAAAGAAGACACCTGAAATCAAGTCGCCGAGCAACAATAACAACAGCAGCAATGCGAAAAAAGGTGGGAAGCGCGATAAGGCGGACAAACCTGTGAGCAAGGATTGCGACGAAATATTGCCAAAACCTTCTGACACTAAAAAAAGTGACCAGCTCGGATGTGAAGTAAGTAAACGGCTCATGAGTGATGAATGTAAAAATCCGTCTCCGTCTAATCACGTAGTGGAAGAGTTTATGGATGTAAATAAAAAATACACAATGTGGATAGAAGTGAAAAAACGTCTTAATACCAAAGCATTAAACAGAAACAGCCGGTCGTCTAGTGAACATTCTTCACAAGACTATGGCTATTCATCTGAACACAATATGAGCATTTCATCATTGCCCAGTTCTCCAGAAGGTTCGGAAGTTGCATGTAGCGAAGGCTGCTGTGCTCGCGAGGGCGAATGTTCTGACGCAAGATCTGTGGATAAGTTAAATATTTCAGATACACGTCTTTGCTTGCTCAAGGAGTATGGTGGAGGTTTGACGTTGTCCCAGATGCTAGAGGTAAGTTATTTTTTTTTTTCCATCTTATGAGCTACGTTTGTTACAAATTGAAATTATGCAGAACATCAGATTATGGCTTTAAATTGTAATTAAGAACAGTTATGCTGAGCTGAGCTATCAATAAAATAAGCTTTGTCACTGTTTAGACAACGTTGCGGAAATATCAAACCTCAAACTGCACTTTAACATTGTAAACAATCATCAAACTTACGTTCATCTAAAGTCATTCATACACACTTTTGATATTGTATTCGTTACCTTATGCCACATTGTGTAATTTGTTGATATTTACTTTTACGTATACATTTTATTATCCATACTCTTGACTCTATTAAATGAGTGTCCAGATGGATTTTCACATTCGACCCTAGCGAGCCTCTTAATATTTTTACGTTAAAGTTATAATCTCTACAATCTAATGTTATACAATTATACAGAGAAAGCTATGGTTGATAAAAAAAATGCTGAAGTTAAATTATATCTTAAAATCTTGTACCACTGTGCCCAATGTGAAATGTAAATTTTAATGTATGATTTGTTCACTAGCGTAACTCTTGAGTATATTGATAACCTACGACAACTTTTAACCAATTTACAAAAGTATTAATTAATTTTTACACTGTTAACTGAAGTTGTAAGCTTGATTATGCATTAGCGAATGATTTATGTTTTAGCAATCAATAGCTTTTCTGTATAATACAGCTATTATTTTGCTTGCTTGTATAATATGTATTGATGCTGCTTTAATGGTACAATTGAACGATAATTAAAAAAAAACTCATATTGATGTGATGATTTCAGGATTCCTCTGAAGATGAAGGCAATCGTAGCTATATTCCAGTCGAAGAAGTATTAGAATTCAAGTCGCGCATGTGCCAAGTCATAGAAAAGCGTCGGGAACTTCGTCAAACACTTCAGAAGCGTTTTGCAGCGCTATGTAATAGTCATCACAAGCCCTTCACCATTCCTCGTTGATGATTTCCATTAGGTATTGTTAAAGCAAGTGTTCTTTCTTTTCTACGTCGATTTTACTACGAACAAAGAATTTAAGAATCATGTACAATAAAATTTTTTTTTTTGGATGTAATTGTTAATTCTCACAGTCCACAGATTGAAATATAGAAGAAAAAAATAGAAAACATTTTGATATTTTATATTTATTTCCACTTGATACTCTCCATTTGTTTTGATGAACATTTTATTTGTCTAGCAACATTGTAGTTAATTGCGCGTTGTAAACGAGGATAGAAACGGCCTTGAGCGTTATTCAACTTTTTTGCCATGAATCATGAAGCATCTTATGAATTAAGAGATAAGTTAGTCTTTCAATCTTTCTTTATCAAAAAGTAAGAAGGAATTTGTTTTTTGAAATATGGTCTTATTTTTAGTTACTATTTTTAAATATGCTTATTAACGCATGGTGGAAATAATCCGTGCCCTAATGTATATACATATATACTTTGAGTTTTAATTAAACGCATAAATATATACCTGTATTGTGTGTGGCTACAATTATTTTTTTCAAGTTAAGTATTACTTAACAATAGTAGTCTACATTTCAGTTAACACGTAGTTAGCTCCTGTCTTCCAGTATTATGAATTTGATATTGAAATTTTTTAAAATGTAACTTTAATCGTAAATAATTGTGAGTTCAAAAATTGCAAACAAAATTTGAACACCTCATACTGAAATGACGCTACTTTTGTAAGCCAGGTTTTTATGAAACGTACTTTTTTATTACTCTAGCCTGGTTTCAAGAAAATATTTTTATACGGTTTACTGTTATAAAGTTTCTTGAAATCAGTGTTACTGTTGATTTGCTAAGATATATTGAAAAATGAAAATTTTATGATACGTCTTGTTGAACAAGACGTATCAATTGTATGGAAAAAATGTGTGGACTGTCGGGAAGGAGATTTATATTTTTAAAAAAATCATTGGCGCTTTGAGGACATTTTGTCCATTGTGTAATTAAAATATAAACACATATAAAGATACGTTGCAATTATAATAAATAATACAATTTATCTTTATCAAAGATTTAATATAAAATAAACGTTGCATTCCAATACAAATGTTATTTTTACATCTCCTGTTTTTCATCAGCAATGTAGAAATTGAAAGTTCTTTTAGTACAGCACATCTTTTGCAAGTTATCTAGCGATGTGCCGTTTAAAAAGTTGAAGAGCGTACATCAGTGTATGTATGTATATATATGTATATATATATATATATATATATATCCACATGGTATAAAGTTAACAAAATATTTAAAAATTTCATTGTTTCATGTAACGTCGCAAAAATAATGACTTTCTTTTTACATGAAAACCGGTGTCTCATTATCAAAAACCTCCAACAAATAACAAAATAACTTAATTAACCTCTTATTTACACATAAAATATGAACATGTTTATATTTACAAGAACGCATTGGCATGTTCACCATCTTCAAGTTTGTCGCATTAAATCCATCAGTGGACATACTGTGCCACGCAGAGCGACGCGTTCGTTCCACCAAAGCCGAAGGCATTCTTTAAAGCCACCCTCTTAGAATCGACAGACCAACTTTTCCACTTGTTGGCAGCAAACTGCAAGTTGCTTTGTCCATCAATACTATGCAGATTTATCGTTGGTGGTATGATTCCCTTTTCCAGAGCAAGAACGGTAAAGGAAACCTCCAAATTACCAGCTGCACCGAGAAGGTGTCCATGAGCCCCCTTGGTGCTCGAGACAGTAACGTGCTTGCTATGCTCGCCAAACTGCGATTCGATAGCCCGCAGCTCAATGGCATCGCCGAGGGGCGTAGAGGTTGCGTGCGCGTTTACGTATGTGATCTCTCTAGAGTGGATGCCAGCGTCCTTGAGAGCACGGTCCATGGCAAGTAGGGCTCCGGCACCGTCCTCGCTGGGAGCGGTAAGGTGGGTCGCATCACCCGACAATCCGTAACCCAGAACCTCGGCGTAAATGTGGGCTCCACGCTCTAGAGCGTGATTAAGCTCTTCTAGCACCAGAATGGCAGCACCCTCACCCATAACGAAGCCATCCCGATTGCTGTCAAAAGGTCGGGACGCCTCTTGTGGAGAGTCGTTTTTGGAGGTGCTCAAGGCTCGGAGTCGACAAAACGCAGCGATAGCCAGGGGACTGATGCATGCCTCGGCACCACCGCATACCATTACGCTCGTCCCTCCGCCGCGCACGAACTGAAAGGCGTCACCTACAAAAAAACTAGGTAAGATACATCTACTGGACGAGACCATGATGGACGGCTGTTTTGTATATCACCTATGGCATGTGCTCCCGTTGCACACGCGGTGGACACAGAGTGATTGGGTCCTCGGAATCCGTACTTTATGCTAATCTGACCAGCAGCCATGTTTGGCAATATTCGGGGCACAAAATAGGGACTAACTTTGGTATATCCCTTCTTTAGTTGTTCGTACATTTGGCATACATCAACCAAGTCGATCATTCCCATTCCTACTGCAACCCCAGTGTTTTGTTTGTCATTCTCTCTCTCTGGTTTCCAATTGGCGTCATTAAGAGCTTCCTCTGCAGCAATCAGAGCGTAAGCTGTGGCAGGACACATTGTTCGCAACTCACTGGTTGTAAACTTTGTTTTCAAGTTCAGTTCATACGGGCCATCTCCTTTAGGTACCAACGCAGCTGTAATTTCATCCGTTACACATTTTTTGTTAATCAAAAACACCTAAAGTGAAAGAGCAAGACAATAAATAAACATAAATAAATGTGAGTGATTTGCTTGTACTAACCGATTCTGCAGGGTAGCTTTTCATAGTCGGGGCCATCCAGAGCAGTAACACCTGAGTGGCCTTCGAGGAGTCGGCCCCAGGCGTACTGGCTGCCTAGTCCGAGTGGTGACACAACGCCTAAGCCGGTGACAACGACGCGCTTGCGAGGAGTTCGCGGCAGGCTAGTGAAGGCCTGGCGATAGGGGCGCGAGCTCGACAACACATGACTCAGGAAGCCGTGTCGTGACATAGCTCACCTATTACCCCCAAGGTGAGAAATGTCTATCCTAGCTGCAGAGCCACTTGGTGGGTCGGTGGTCTCGAGATCATAAACAATTGGAGGCTGGACTGTCGAAGCAGAAGACGTACTGCGGCTCACATATCTTTGCACACGTGGGTGGACGATGGGACGGTATATATTAGATTTGTTCGATCGGAGTGTCCCGAACTCTATAGCCCAAACACGCGTTCTTGCTCCGAGCGCTCCAACTGTTCCACACGTGGTCTCGACCCAGGCGACCCAAAAAATCCGCAGTAGTGCCCGATGTACTTGTCATCTAGTGTGAGTAAATTATCTACAGATAAGAGGTTAAGATAATTCATAGCTGGCTCTCTTGCTAATTATAGTAATCACTGCTAAGTCTAAGTAGTGCCATACGGTCGTACGGTCGATTTTATTAAATCATATAAGTAGAATATATATACTTTTGGAGGAAGATTTTCGGGAAAAAGATAAATTGTATACTTGCTGTAAACAAAACAAACAAGATCACCATTTTGTTTTATATCTACCGAATTAGTTGCGGCTGGTTAATAATTAAGAAAATGGCTCTACTGTAAGTATGTAATAATTTATTTGGTCAGCGCCATCTAGCGTTGCGGATTTCTGATCTAAAAAGTAGCCCTAAAATTCTCAAGGAGAGTTTTGGGCATTTTTGGCTCTAAAGCCAATCAATCAATTATAAACCAGCCGCAACAACTTTAATAGATATAAAATAAAAAGTTAAATTTGTCTGCACTATTGGCGGCAAGTTTACTATTTATCTTTTACCCAAAAGTATAAATATATAAAAGATCAACATTCAGGTAGAAAATGAATTGCAAACTTGCCGCAAACAGCACAGACGAGGTTAAACTTTTATTTTACATCTGTGATAGTAGGGGCGGCTAGTTCATAATTAATTAAATGGCTCTAGGGCTAAATTGCCTAAAGCTCTCCTTCAGAATTTCAGAAGCAATTTTTGGCAAAAAAAATTTCAACCGCTAGATGGCGCTAATCCACATAATTATTACTACTCATAGTAGAGCTATTTAATCAATTATAAACCAGCCGCAACTAATTTNCATTTATCTTTTACCTAAAAGTACAAACATATAAAAGATCAACATTTAGGTAGAAGATAAATTGCAAACTTGCCGCAAACAGCAAATAAAAAGTTAACGTTGTTTGCACTGTTGGCGGCAAGTTTACAATTTATCTTTTACACGAAAGTATAAATATATAAAAGATCAACATTCAGGTAGAAGATAAATTGTAAACTTGCCGCCAAAAGCTTAAACAATGTTAACTTTTTATTTTGTATTTACAAAATTAGTTGCGGCTGGTTTATAACTAACTAAATGGCTCTAGGGCCTAAACTGCCTAAAGCTCTCCTTTAGAATTTTAAGGCCACTTATTAGTTCAGAAATCTATTGGAGCCGATCTGTACGACCCTCCGCTCTCTTTCTATAGATTCACTAGTGTCCGCAGCGGAGGGGTCTATTGGAGACGATCTATTAGACACTATACGCGCACTCTCTTGAAATTCACGAGGAAAATGCACTAGGACTAGTGTCCGCGGCGGAGGGTCTATTGGAGCCGATTTATTAGACCCTCTACTCACTTTTTTAAAATTCACTACGAAAATGCATTAGGACTAATGTACGCAGCGGAGGGTCTATTGGAGCCGATCTATTAGACCCTGCATCAGGCCGACTCTGGGCTAGTATTTCTGATTTCTCCCGATACTCTACTTGTTGTCAGCGCCATCTATCGCTGCAGAAAAACGGTCCCTGTTGTACCGACAGTCAACACACTTACCAGTTGAAGAAATCTAACCAATGTTAACAGTCGGTAAGCTAGATTACCAACTACGCCAAATGTCCCTGTCGTATTGACGGTCGACATTGTTCGCACGTCTTCAAAGGGCATGTGAATTGACTGTCGGTACGACAGCGACCGTATTTCTTGATTGATACCGACAAATTATCAATTCTTTATCGGAAAACCCTAGATTGCTAGTGTGGAACGCACAAATCTAGGGTTTTTTTTTCAAGATGATTTCCCCTAGATAGATTGATTCCGAAAATCACAACGCTAGATGGCGCTGACAACAAGTAGAGTGTAGGGCTGTCTAACATATCGGCTCCAATAGACCCTCCGCTGCGGACACTAGTCCTTGTGAATTTCAAAAAAGTGAGTGTAGGGTCTAATAAATCGGCTCCAATAGACCCTCCGCTGCGGACACTAGTCCTTGTGAATTTCAAAAAAGTGAGTAGAGGGTCTAATAAATCGGCTCCAATAGACCCTCCGCTGCGGACACTAGTCCTTGTGAATTTCAAAAAAGTGAGTAGAGGGTCTAACATATCGGCTCCAATAGACCTTCCGCTGGGGACACTAGACTAGTAAACTAAGCGCTGATCGTAAACTGAATGTATGTAAACTTACGATAAGTATAAATAAATAATAAGTAGGAATATAGGTGTTGCCTATGATTAAGAAATCTATTAATTTATTATGTACTACGTTGTACTGTTGTACTTAACACAGTAATACGCAAATGCGCGTGTATATATGTGTATGTTGTTTTTATAAAGCTTTTTTAATAATGGTCTGATCAAGTGATCATTCGGCAAGTTGTCAAACCCAAAGTAGGTACCTATAAATACATATTAATTTTTTGAGGCACTCCGTTAAGGTATCTCCTTTTCTCTTGTCTCCAACAAAAATACTATATCTTATTAGTCTGGCTGAAACACATATTATGTACTCGCTTACCGCAGCGGCAGAGGTATTTTGAATAAATAGTATGAGAACATGAGTGTAACAACAACAACTTTTGCTGTTGGAAACGAAAATGAATAATTCTCTAGTAGGTATTTACACAGCCCTTACGATCCTTATTCTTCATAATACATTAACACAATAACATGGGCGAGTATACCGTTTTACAGGAGCGTACAGCGACTTTGGAAAATACAAAAGTACCTCCTTTTTGTTTTCTGAAAAATTCACTAGATAGAGGTAAACGGTACAGTTGTTGATCCCCCGATAATGATTGACCGCCACATGCATTTTTTAATGGAGCCTTTATATATAGATATACAAATTATACAGGGGTCAATCACTACCTTTAGGTGTCAATAACTGTACCGTTTACCCCTACTATAGTGTATTGAATTGAATGATTTTTATTGGCTTTACTTTAAGTTAATTGAAAAGTAAAGTTTGCATCGATATTGATTACATTTGTAATTACGTGTTCGGTTAAGAAACTACATAAAAAAGTAAAAACTGTGTAAGTATTTATCTTAGTAACAAACATGTATATATCTGTAAATATATATTCACTGATTCCGCTTGAACACAGAGAGCGCTTAAGAGTAGTTATCGTATAATTGAACTTTTAAAGTTATTCTATTTTTCTATTATTAAACTGTTTGACAATTTAATGGATATAATAGAATTTTATTCTATAAAGAGCTAAGTTGTACTAAAGATAGTTGTAATAACATCTTTCTATATAAATACTATATAGGTTTTTGTATGATATCAATAAAATTTGCAATTATAGGAATTATTCTATCGTTTAAGTCTGAGATAAAACTAATGACTGAAAAGGGACCATAATTAAGAATCTTATAAAGCTATAGTGTATTTGATTCAATTTTACAGTATTGTAAAATTGATTTATTAAAATTGATTTATGCAGTATTTCAAATACTGTATTTCTGCAGTTCTACCACTAGCGCTGTCTGGCGGAGAATATTCTGAGTTGTGAGTTTTAAGGTACTTCTAAACTTCTTAACTCCTAACTCGAATTCGGCAACGCGAGATGGCGCTGATTGTAAACTGAACGTAGACTGTAGAAACTGGGTTTAACTTATTAGCTTATATTAATAAATTAGAGAGCTACTAAAATGTAAAAATGGGTTTAACTTATACTCTGCAGTACACAAGATAATATGATGATTGAGGATGAGGGTTCTGAGGTCTGAGGTCTGAGGTAAACACACGAAACAGAGCAAGAGGGATAAAAGGAGGGCTGAGCTTAGTGCTCCAAGATAAGAGTCTGAGAAGTATGTGTGTGTACTATGCACACTAAACCAATTCGCGAGAACCTAAACTCAGCTTTCGATCAATAGCTGCATGGTTCGCTGGATCAACTCTCGGTTGTTGCATATACGTATTTAGGTACCTGTACTTTTTTAAGATATAAGATAAATCATCAACCAAAATAGCGATTAGGAAATTATCTGCAGAAAGACAGAGATAGCTTGCGAAAAGAGCAAAATGGCGGCGCCTACGACAGGACAGTGACGATCTGACGATAGACGACGTTGGTGTGCGTTTCTTTGAACAGCAGCACTCATCAGCGGATGATCAGCACTATCAGCGGCAGCAGATAGTGGAGTTACACGGGTTGTACCCATCACGTGCATGTATACAGTGCCTACGTAATTTATCAGCAGATTGCACCTGCAGGAGGGGCGTCCCGACTTCATTGTCATTTTCTGTCCTGTCTCCTCTTCTGCTACGTTTACCCGGCGTGGAAATACTTGTGTCTATATAGTGTGTAATCCGCCCACGCGTCATCCAGCGGGAGATCTTAAGTTCGCGCCTTCACGTGGAGGAGGAAAGATGAAGCACCGGCTGATTGCATTAGTCTGTTATATCTAAGTACTTATTTACTCCTAGTGAAACAGGAAGCTTTGTACATCGTAACCATCGTCGTTGAAGGCGCGCGCGCGCGCGCGCATGTGTTCTGTGCCTGTGTTCTGGAGCACCGTCCTCGTCATCCTGTAGTTGTGTCATCTATCCACACTACACACTGCCGTGATTTAAACACAATATATACTTGTTATACACATAGTTCCGGGCGTTCGGGGTCGGGAGTCGTCTGTTGTGGTGTTGTTTGTGGGTGCGGACGTGCGTGCATGTGAGTCATCGTCGTCGGTTCGTCGTCGTCGTCCTCGTCGGCGAGTAGGACTAATCTAAAGTGCAGCTGGGCCCCGCCCGCCGGCAAGCTTGGGCCCCTTTAATGCATCGGGCCCTGCAGCCGAGCGCTCGACGATATGGCACTCAGCCCAAGGGACATGGACGGTTTCATGCCGCTCCTCTCGACCACCGACATAAAGAAGAAGCTCCAGGTTGGCGCCCAGTTGCTCAACTTTCTCGCCGATCCGTTCAAGAGCATCGAGTGCCAGGACATCGGCCTCTTCATCGACAACCTCGTGCCTTGGCTCAACAGCAGTAATCCTAAGGTAAAACACATTATTATGGCATACAAGCAGATATGCACATCTACAGGTATAGGTGCTCTTGCAAAGAGTCCTGCTCCTGCTGTCTTATCTCTATCTGCATGAATGCATGATAGTCAGTCATGCGATGCTGTTTTGCTCTTTGATTACGGAAACAATGCAGGAAAAAAATTATTATTTCATTTAAAAAAAGCTAATGAGGCCGCCGTGGTAGTACATCAGAGCCATTTAATTCGTGTTTTAATGGAGATCTTGATATGCCTTATGTTAAAAAAACACAGGTTGGCCCTTCTCTATGAACTGCCTTCTCTATAAAAATATAAAAGGTTATTTTTAATTGTTTCTACACCTTTTAACTCACATTGTGCTTATCTCTTGGAGATAATACTTATTGTTGAGGCTTGAAAATATTGTCCAAAAAGTGAAAGTAGTAGAAAATATACCCCTGTTTCAGACTTTTGGAACTTTTCTTCCTGCAAGAACCAGTTATCACGTGCAACGATCGAATAAGGCTGCAAAAAAACTTTCTCACCTTTTATGTCTGTCATGTTAGGAATGTGGCATGGATTGGGGTAACTTGGCTAGCTTACAACTTCCCTTTTTATTTATTTGTTTACAACTGCAATGCTTGCATTTTAAAGAAATTTATCCTGTTTTAAGGTAATAAAAGAAAGTTTTCTGCATATACTTTGATCATCATTCAGTAAGGAAAAAAAAATTTAATTTCTTTAAATATGGCTTGAATAAAGAATAAATCTAAATTCACATCGGTTAATACACTCTCACAATTTGTATTCAAGATAGCTCTTCGAAACTGTGCATTAGATATATATCATGATAAGATGTGTGTGTGTGTGTGTGTGTGTGTTTGTGTCATAAACCATAGGACTTATCAAAATTTGGAAACTTGTACATTATTCATCAAGTATCTTAACAGTTGCATCTGCCATAGTGGCAGCACACATGCACACTCTCTCTCTCTTTTTCTGTCACGCTTGACTGTACCCTGCTATATTTAGCATAACTGTTTTTTTTTATCATTCTTGTTACCAATCTGTTTCTTCAGCTCCCTTGTGTTATGTGTCTCTTACTCCCTTCGTTTTTATTATTTTTTTTTCTCTCCTTGTCCTTCTATCCAATTCAAAGCCAAGTTTTAAAGGTGATTGTACTTTGGCTGAACTCTTCTCTTAGCTCAATTTGACAAATTTAACTATCTTAAGCCATGTCTTAATCGTTAAACTTTATGCAATGTGGACTTGATGAAATTTAAACCATGCCAAGGACAAATTGTGCACAAGTTTTATACATCAACTTGCTGAGTGATTTTGTATTTTTGAAAACAATTAGATGCACGCCATTGTTATCAGTATACTATGTTCAATTGTATAACGTATTCTCATCGTTTGGTATGAACTAGTTAGATTTAAAAAATTTTAATCGAGTGTAGATGCACTCAGCATTTATATATATGTACCAATAGGTCACATTGTTTCGTCACACTTGCAAACTTATATACCCACCTCCTTCATCTAAGCATACCATACTGATTTTGTTTTTTATTAATTTTCTCTTATACCATACCTCGATGATGTTACAGTAGCTACGTTCTGTCATGATGATGATCAGTAGTAATCTCTAGAATTGATTGTGAAAATACACAAAACCACATTAATACACACCAAATAATAAATTAAAATATAAAAAAAATGCTCACAAGTAGATCCAATTAACCACAGGTACTTGCTACTGAGTAATACATAATACTAGAGTTTTCAAATTAATCAACTAGATTCTTCTTGATGATTAATTTGGAAGCATTTAGTTATCCATGAAGGAAATCCGATCGTATCGACCGGGCCACGCTCTATTGAAAGTGAAGCTGCTGCCCGGCAGAAAAAGCACGCGCCTATCAGAGCAGAGAGGTGTAAAAAGATCCTCCGGCTGAATAATGGAAATTTTCGATGTTGGCTAAATAAGCTATTTTTACCTTCGAATAATCAACGTATATGCAAGAACGAAAGACAGCGTCCCTTCGAGAAACCCCTTGCTGGTTTGGTTTCTTTTTTTCCCCTTCTTGTCTTTCTCTCTCTTTCTCTCCTCCTCTCGTGTATGTACTCACAGGGCGACCCACGCGTGCGAAAAAAAAAGGAAAAGAGAAAAGCAGGAGGAGCAAGTCTATTTCTGCGACTTGCAATATTAGGGCTCTGTATCTCCAGTCGCTGTTGCTGCTGTGGCTCACTTTTGCCGTTGCAGAGAGAAAAGCCAAAATACGGAATCGGCAAATTTATGCGCATTATATAGGCAGAGGTGAAAGTGCATGCATAAGTACTTGTAGTCCGTAGGTTTGCAAAATTAAAGGAAAAAAAAGAAGGAAATTGTACAACGGAGGGGGGGGGGAAGAAGAGAGACGAATACCAGAGAAAGTACTTTTTTGTGTCTATTTTTTCTAGAGGACGCGTGTGTTTGAGTATATACATCCGATTCGTGACTCGAGCCTCGAGCCTCGAGCACCGCACGAAAAAACAGCTGACGCACAAGAAGCAAGTCGTGTGAATATTTTCAATTGTTTTTTTTTTTTTTTTTTTTTCTTTTTTTTTCGTCAGTAGAGTGCCAAAGGTTTTAAAATTGATTAACAAGAGATACTTTTCTCTTTTTTGTCTCCTCCCTAGAGATATTGATAGAGGGTGTACGGAATATCACTGCTGCGGCTCACGTGTTTGTTCTTAAGAGATAATGCGGCAAAATTCCGATTTAATGTCTTTGGTTTTGTTGGTGCGGACACTTTTGGTCGAGAATGGATTTGGTTATCACCCGTGGCTAGAGCTTTTTTACGGGAGTGTAAGTTCACACTTGTTCCATAAATGTTTCAAAGATTTGTAGAGCTTCGACGCGCACCGTAACATACACAGTTCTTGAATACTAAAAAAGTCGAAAAAAAGTCTTTGGTGCCATTTGGTACATTATCAAGTTTCAATTTTTTACAGTTGTTGCAAACATTTTATTGCGTAAGCATTGATTATTCCTTTATGTTTGCATCTCTGAGATGGTTCGTAAGTTGAGTCTTCCGATGTGTTATAAATAGTGCTAAATACGAACAAATTTTGAAACATCAATAATCGTTAAGTATTCATTCATTCAGCTAAGAGTAGACTAATTGGATTATTTTTATTTTTAAACATGTGCCAACGAAACTTTTTGGGTGGTCTACCAAATTGAAAACAACTTTTTTTTTTAATTATGACACATCAAAACACAACTTGAATGCAACAACCAACTATTTTCAAATTTTGTGTACACAAATATTTAATAATACAGTATGATATCAGACTATTTCCCTTTTTAGATATAATATATCAGTAATAATAAAATGTGAGTGTTATCGAGAATATTAAAACAACGTATACAACATATTAGTACACCTACAGTTATTTTTTAACTTATGCGCTTATAAAATTTTTTTTTTTATATCCATTCGATGATTTCCATGAACAATTAATCTACAAGTTGTTGCGCTTGGCCATAACGTATGTATTTCGCCACAAAAAGATTTTTAAGATAATGCGTGGGCACACACGATCCAAGCAGTGCACGTTACGTGGACCTCATAATTTATATTGTATTCGAACAAAAAGCGTTTAAAAATACATGTTTCTGTTCGTGTTTCTTTTATGCATCTTATAAGTACAATAAAAATTTTGCTAACAGTAGGTAAGTATGTAAACAAGGGTGCAATCGCCTCTCTTATACGCGCAGCAGCATGTATAGTCATTGGAAAACGGTGTATAAAGCTTCAGTATCACCGTGACTGGTGTGTGACCCAAGTCTTATAGCAAGCAGGTAAACTATAAGTATATACTGATGTATATAAGGGAAAGAAAGAGCCTCGCTCAGCTGAGCCACCAGCTGTCCCTACTTTTTTTCACCCACGCGGTTGTACGCCATACATGTATACACACGTATAAAAGGAAAGCGAACGCACACACTCTCTGTCTTGTAGGTAATAACACGTTTGACAGGTAAGGCCAACGCTTGCACCCACGCGGATATTTTTATACACTTACGTGCTTACCGCTGTCTTTCTGCGGTTTTATGCGTTTAATAATATGCAACGACGATCTGTCGTTCGTTAGCTGCTGAACTACTTGGACGCGCAAGTGTTACATTCATCGTGTGTGTGGATATTATACGTTTCATATTACACCAAGTGTTTTTTTTTTTCTTCTTTTTTTCTTTTTTTTTGTCGCAAGTGCTGTAACATACCTACTCGAGTCCAGTGCTGGCAAAGATTCTCGATTTATTCGGCAAGTAACATATTATCCATGTGACATATATTTGTACGAGTGAGTGTAATACATGGTATGGCTAACAGTGCACCTGCGCGCTTCTTCCATATCGACGAAGAAGCATCGGTGATGTTTGCTACTCGTCGGCTTGACAATGCCTGTTCCACTTCCTTTTAAGATCAGGAATAAAAACTGCTGCCGTAAAACGTTCGCTTGCCCGTTGTTTATCGATTGACTCTCGATTGCACTTAAACGCTACTGATCTCATCCTCATCGTCTGGGCGCTACTTTTTTTTTACATTTCTTACATTTTCTCGATTGTCTGGGACTAAAACGATCAAACTTTATGATTCTGTCGATGAAAAAAAAAAAAGTGTGCTGAAACGTTTACTATTATGAACGAGCAGTACTGACACTACTTACCAAAATCATTACCAATATGGTAGTTTCTTATTATTTTTACATGATTCATAAGCTCATCCGACTCTCCATAATGTACCAAAAAAATGTATGGTTATGCTTATTTTATTATATTATTTAAATATACTGTCTTNAAAAATTTTTTTACTTCATTTGTTTCCAATAGCATAATTTTCATAAAATTTCGAAACAATTTTGCAGACGTTGTTTGTGTATCAACACCTCAAATAATTATTGAAAATTACACATTTAAAAAAAAAACTGGGTTGAAAACGATCGTGAGACAGGCACTTTTTTCCAAATTATAACCTATGTCAATCAAATACAAAAGAGCGAAATCAAAACATTGGAAAACAATTACATAATATATCTACTACAAATTAAGTCACAAAATACTCTAATTAATTCTTAAAAATATAATGTTGAAGTAAGCTTTATGCCCTGTAAAAATTGGTAATGAATAAATATTAGTATAAATGATGAAAATTCATCATATGGTTGTTTATGTCTAAATTCCGCGATTTTATATCATATTTGTGAGCTTATAATAGAATTTCAAGTACTTGTCGAAATTTGAAAAAGATTTGATCTATTACTACCGATAATAATATACGAATTGATCTGCAAGTTGGGTTGGTAGGTAAATTATTTTTCACAAGACAATTTTTGATAATGTGAGCCTTTGCTCGTAGTTGTTAGCATATAGTAGGTATTAAAGGTTTATATATATATATATATTGCTTTCATTTTTTCGGCGATGGTTTTGTGTTTTCTTTTTCGCACTCAATTTCAATTTTTCTCGAAAATCGCTTCCAAAAATTTTATCAAAGTGACCTACGAATGAGAAAAATTTAATGTGGCGTGGAGTGAAAAGTATTAGTAAGAGAGCACACGAAGGCAACTTATTCTAGCCACAGTCAGTCGCCACTCTTCCCAGAGATCGTAAATTAGGCTGCTGGATTTCTAATTTAAAGCACGACTGCATCACCACGCACACACACATATACGAGACACCACCTACTGTGAAGAAAAGAAAAAAAGGAGATAAACTCACGTTCAGCGTAATATGCCGGGGTGTATGTATATGTATGGTTATTAAAAAACGAGGAGCTCGAGTTTGGCAGTGTCGCTCTTGAATATACCTGTCCCATGCCAAAATAGGTTTACACGCACGCAGTCGCGCTGCATGCTGCGAGCGAAAGAGCGAAAATCGCTTTAAGGTGCACCACGGCGCCGTAGTACTGGCGCGACTGCAGCCCTCGCGTGCTTGCATTTCCTCTTCTGAAGTTCGCTATCTCTTGTACAAGTCTCTCATCTGAAGCTTTCTTAGAGGGGATATTATGCTGAGGTATCACTTGAGAATTGAAATACTTGATAAGCTTTCATTTTAGACCTGATAGATCGAAGAGTGTTTAGCTTTTAACTCAGTGATGTATATAAAAATTTTATTTTCATATACCTAATAGTAGTAGTGATTTTGCGATGAAAAGATGAAAAATTGTGTTTTTTTGTTTTCTTAAAATGTATATACATTTTTATTATTTTTTTTTTTTTGTACAATTTTCTAAAAAAAAAAAAAAATCAAAACAACTAGATTATTCAAAGCTTCAACTCCTTTGACGTTGCCTACATCCAGTAATACCACCTACAATTTTATTTAAATTCGTTACTTATTGATTCAGGTACTCAAGTTTTCTTTTGATGACTACAACTTGAAAAAAATCCATCATTAACTCTAATTTAATTTTAAGTATGAATATTCAATCGTGGCAAACACATTACTCTTCTTTCATGAAATTGGTACACAATATTTGTTTTCAAATGATGATTATGTAAGCTTCAATAGTGAATATAAACTAGAATTAATAGACTGCATTTTGTAAACATTCAAGTCCATGATGTTCGGATTTTAGAATATTCAATATTAGTCGGTCATGACAAATGAGTTTTTTACATTACTTTTTTTTAATTTTTTTAAATAGTGGTATGTAATCTATTCAATGCAAATTTTCAAATTACATTATCTTCGCACATAATACGAAAGAAAAAAAACGAAAAAATATTAATTTATGTTAATTTATTGTATATTATTTTTCAAAAACATTTTTTTGTTCGCAAGTAAATAGTTTCTATGAACATCTAGTTAATAAAATTATTTCAAATGATTGTTATTGTTAAATACGTTTTTTTTTTTTTTTAAGCACACGTACCCCATTGTACAATCTACGCTTTATTAATGGTATTTTTTAATTTCTGTTATCTTATTCATTGAAAATATAAAAATACATTAATTAGCTGTATACTTACTTACGATGATTATCAATACCACACACAAAAAAAAAAAAAATTGTACATCCTCATCAATATCATTTTATCATTTTTATCTTCTACACATTTTATTTGAATTTTGCATAGGATATTGGAAACCGTGGTGATAAATCTTGTTTAATTAATTATTTAACATACACAGTACTTGACAAACTAATTATTTAATACATGCTTACTAATTTTTCATATGGCTAATTAATATCGCAGAGTAAGGTCTTCACATATTTTTGTTATATTAACCCGAGTATATAGAGTAAATTAGGTCCGCAGTAGACCTCTTCTCACCCGTCATGACAACTATATTTGTTTTGTTTTTCTCCTCTTTCTTTCTCAACTTAAACTGTAATTACAATGAGAGTACGCTGCTGCAGTCTTTGCGTGCGCGTCTGCTCCTTTTTGTGTAGACAGGCAAATTTAATTGTGTGGTTCAAAAGGAGATACTGTCAGAATGAAAATCTTCAACCTTTTAAAATCGCTTTCTGCTTGATTAAACGATGGCTCAACGCTACATCATGTATATAAGCTTGAAATCACACTTGAATCTAATGTAAATTTTTGAGAAATTTTAGTAGAAATATATTTGCCATAAAAAAATTTTTTTACTTCATTTGTTTCCAATAGCATAATTTTCATAAAATTTCGAAACAATTTTGCAGACGTTGTTTGTGTATCAACACCTCAAATAATTATTGAAAATTACACATTTAAAAAAAAAACTGGGTTGAAAACGATCGTGAGACAGGCACTTTTTTCCAAATTATAACCTATGTCAATCAAATACAAAAGAGCGAAATCAAAACATTGGAAAACAATTACATAATATATCTACTACAAATTAAGTCACAAAATACTCTAATTAATTCTTAAAAATATAATGTTGAAGTAAGCTTTATGCCCTGTAAAAATTGGTAATGAATAAATATTAGTATAAATGATGAAAATTCATCATATGGTTGTTTATGTCTAAATTCCGCGATTTTATATCATATTTGTGAGCTTATAATAGAATTTCAAGTACTTGTCGAAATTTGAAAAAGATTTGATCTATTACTACCGATAATAATATACGAATTGATCTGCAAGTTGGGTTGGTAGGTAAATTATTTTTCACAAGACAATTTTTGATAATGTGAGCCTTTGCTCGTAGTTGTTAGCATATAGTAGGTATTAAAGGTTCTTCATGATATAATTACAACTCAGAAATGATACTTAATTTCATTTTATTTACTACACAATACAGTTATCTGTAACGCCGCCATATTTTTCGAAGACTCGACAAATTTCACCACGATAACCTAGAATATTTTTTTAATCTCCTCTAAAAAAATAAAAATTATTTACCAACTCTACATTATTTTTTTTACCAAAGTCTTGACGTATTACTATTTTATTCACCTCGTACACGCTATAGTGAACTCCGGCTCTATTAGTCTCCTAAGCAAATCGAGCGTAAGACCTCGATTTCGCCGAAGAGTTTAATTAAATTTCAGCTTTATTTACGGTTTCATCGTTACGTCAGCCTCATCACAATTAGCTGACGTCTTTGAAATCACCATCACATCCGCACACATAAGTTGTAGTATATCTTGATATACGTAAATAAATCAAAGAGAAAAGCACATTGCATTTTGTTATTATTTTACATCAACTATCACAAGATTAGTTTATTAATGAATTTTTTCGATATTTTAATCGCAGGTCGTCCAAAATGGCCTGGATGCGCTCACGTACTTGGCAGATCGGATGGGTCACGACTTCAGGCCTTACATTTCAACAATCATCCAACCAACGATAGACAGGCTAGGTATGTATCATTTTTCTAGAGAACACTTTGAGTTACGTGCATGTTATTTTATATTAGTACGTACTACTTACGAGGTTATCCCGTGCCCCTAGAAACCCGAGTGTGGCCAATCATGTGTACGCAATACAAATATATTACTTTAAGACAATAACAGCGAGTACAATGCATTTACAAATCTTTTTTTTTTACTGAGCTTTTAGTTGGTATTTTATGTTTTCATTGCGCATAGATGAATTTTGTAATTAAATATTATTGAAATTATTACTTACAAGAACTTCATAGATAAAAATAAATTTATATATCTATTTTTTATGTATATCTTTCATAAGTTGACTGCATAAAAAATAAATATTTTCAATATTTGATCGCTAAATCGACTATTGACTGGATAGCTGGAGCACCACTAAAATGATTCATTTTAAATTTTGAGCTCGTAGATAAACTTTTATTTATGTAGTAGTAGTAGTAGTATTCTTCATACAGAAGCTAAAAGTATAGATGTGTTCAAGACTACCGACTCAATGAAATTTCATTTTTGTGTCGTGTAGGTGATAAAAAAGATTCAACGAGGGATAAAGCACAGCTGATGCTTTTGAAGATTATGGAAAAAGGCAGTATGTCGCCTCAAAATTTACTGGATAAACTCCAGCCGGCGTTTTCTCACAAAAATGCCAAATTGAGAGAAGAGGCGCTAATACTTCTCACAACTACGATAAACGAGTAAGTCGCATACATGTCACGTTTAACTTTTCGTAAATTTGAAATTGATTACTGACACTAATATGATATTTTTGTAAACAGGCATGGTGCTGACGAAATGGCGCTTTCTGGCGTGACTCCCAGCATAGTCAAGTTGTTGTCGGATCCCACGGAAAAAGTGCGAGAAACTGCAATAAACACGTTGACAGATATATACAGGCATGTAGGTGATAGGTTACGAGTAGACTTGCAGAAAAATCACAATGTACCCCAGGCCAAGTAAGTGTTACCATCAATTAAAAGATTGTGATATTCTTTTGAAATAATATTATAAGAGCGATGGGTCGAGTACTTTATTAGGTAATTTCCGGATAACAGTATCTGAAGTGCATGAAAATTCTCTTATAAAAATAAAAAATTAAATGTAAACCGTCCTTTAGGATTCGTAAGTAGGCTAAATGCTTTAAACTGACTGCCCTACTGCCCTTCTGAATCTTAGTATGCTTCATGATTTCTATTTTTTCTTGAGTCGATTTTGATTTTAAGTTTCCTAGTCCGTTATTTAAAACTGTCTGCATGTATATGTGCATAAGACGAAAATCCTGTTTATGAAGAAAATGTATTTTTACTTTGTTGATTTCAATGAGAATTTTTGATGTAAAAAAATATTTTCATACCTAGAGGTTAATCTTAACGCCATACATTTTGTTTTTCTCATCATGCAATTAAAAAATTTTTAAACAATTGTTCAACTTCAATTTACAGATTACAGCTACTAATCAAAGAATTCGACAAGCTGAGAGCCGCAGGTGACATGTTACCACAGGCGAGATCTGCTGACGGTGAGTTTAAATCTTTAAGAAATCCTTTTGAAAATGTTATTGTAGAGCATTGTTTAATAATTACTGGGCCCCCGCGACTGTTTTATCGATACTCATCGTCGGTAATCCATGTGTCATTGGATCGTGCTGCCATCGCGCAGCGACAGCTTATACTGATATACACAACATGCCCCACTGCTAAATGTAGTGTTACGCGCTGAATTCAAGCGTTTGATTTAGCTTGACTTATTACCTCTTCCCCCTTCTTATTCAACCTCAATTTACATACACGTGTTATGATGGCGTAGTTGAACTACTTATTTTATTAAGAACTATAGAAAGCCTTCAAAAAGCCTACAAATTATGTATTTAGTTACAAAAAAATTATATGAAGGAATTCTTAAGTATTAAAAAAAAATACTAAAAGTTTCTTCCTTTAAATGTACTTGTGCTTAGTTTGTTCACTCTATGTATATATAGGTCGAAATTCGATAACTGGTTTTTAAAATAGAAAAACGAATAAGTTCATATTTCCGAGTTTAAGGTTTTCCAGCTATCGTTATCCTAATTAATCAGTAAATATCGGTTAGAACTTGTGAAAATAATTTGATTTCTGTAGTATCATTTTTTTTCATTCGTCTGTAAAGATTTCATGTTATAATACTAGGTATTTACTTATTTCTCCTTTGTTTTGAATCAGTAAAAAACACAAACATTAAACCTATAATCAATAAAATCCAACACGTTTGAAAAAAAAATTTTTCTTGTAATTGATACAAGGTTTCGTCAACGTAGAAACTAAAATTGAGAGCAGTAATCTAATAAAACCTGTTGATATTTGATGTAATCGATACCTAAGTTTGACAGTATCGTGTAACACGACGTTGTTACAAATTCAACCCAAGACCAAGTGATTATATTTTTTTTTACCACTACAATAGTCTCTTTGTATCGGAGCCCTTTTTATTCACGACTTAGATACACAAATCTGCAATCCAATAGCTACTCGATGAATATACTCTTTTTTTTTTTTTTACAATAAAACAGAAGAACATAAAAGTCGCTGAGGTCAAAGTGGTCAGGTGTTTAGTGTAGTGGGTGGGCGCGATAGAGCGAGAGGAGAAACAGAAAGATTTTACGTAACGCAACAAAATGGGACCAAAGGGTACATGTCTATGCATATCGTACGGATCTACGTGTCATGCGCTATGTCCTAGGCCGTCCGATACGATATCTTGTAGACAAGCTGGCGTTGAGTTTCACCTGGCTCTCGAACACGATCGCCCGTGTACGATCCATACCCACGTGGCTCTTCCACTTCTCGGCTGGCGACGTCTACCACGCTCCGTTAAACAGAGCTGAGCGCGTATTGAATGACTGAGAACAATCCCCCTTACCCTCGGGATCAATCTCCCTCTCTCTCTTTCTTTCTCTCTCTTTTTAAGTATGCGCAATACGACGTTCGTTGACGCGAGAAGCTGATCGCACGCACCTCTTGGGTTTACTTTTTAACTCCTATCAAAAGCTTGCACTTGTTGAGTTAAATTGAAAATCTATGGGTATTTAAAGACCAGATATGAAGATAATAATCTAGAGTTTATATATCTATTTTTTATGTATATCTTTCATAAGTTGACTGCATAAAAAATAAATATTTTCAATATTTGATCGCTAAATCGACTATTGACTGGATAGCTGGAGCACCACTAAAATGATTCATTTTAAATTTTGAGCTCGTAGATAAACTTTTATTTATGTAGTAGTAGTAGTAGTATTCTTCATACAGAAGCTAAAAGTATAGATGTGTTCAAGACTACCGACTCAATGAAATTTCATTTTTGTGTCGTGTAGNTCCTTCCCCTGGAGACTCAAACGTTTCATATATATATTTATAGGTATATATGTAGAAATGAAATCGATCCTACGTATTCGCGGAACCCACATCCTCGTGAAATAGAAAGTAAAACTTTGTGAGCAAACTGTTAAGTACACAAAGCTAGAGAACGTGAAGGTACCCTCTACACATGCATGAAGGTGGTATCGCGGAGCAGCAACCCCATTGTTTCCCCGCGTAACGTTTGTGGGAGATGGACTCGCTTATTCACTGCTATAATCCACAGCTGCTGTTGCTTGGAATCGTGAATCTTGGCTGCTATTGGCCAGGTGCAAGTGATGGGAGGGGATAAATGAGTCGACGCCAGCATGCGTAGTGGCGAAAACAGGAAACCTGGGGTACCAAATGACTGTTATTTTTGCTTAATTAAGGAAAGAATAACAGTATTTCGTCAAATTTACAGATGTTATCATCACATATGCATAAATAGTATCAATATTATGAAATTGCAGTTACACTAATGTAAAAAAATGAACTATGTGGTGCCAAGAACGGTTGTAAAATGTTTGAATGTAACAACATACTTATTAATGAAGCCTCGTTAGTTTTCGATCCAGAGCACACTCTCAGAAGCAGACGGCAAAAAGAGAGATAAATACGCGAAATAAGACATGATCATTGTGATTTCTATATTATTTAAACGTTTATGAAATGTGGGTGTAAGAAAGTGCTGTGTCGTTCAGTGTAACAGTAGGGCAAATACAAATGGAGTAAAATTACATAAATTTCAATGATTATCCAACTGTAAATAAAAGTAATATTCATGTGCATTGCAACTTAGACAATTTTCAAAATAATATAAATAAAACGTACATGCAGGTTAACTTTGTAGGGAGCTGAAGTTACCGATCGAGGTCTGCATTATTACGACGGCACTTGTCAAATTGCTAACTTCATCACTATGAAATTCTGTAACATCGCACACATGACTACTTTCAACCAACTGTTTACCTTTTTTTTAAGGCTTCAGAGTTAAAACATATCGAGTGCGTGATATTCCTAAAGCTTGTTTTTGTGATAACATCCATTATCAGATGAATAAATACACTAATTTTTTGCTAGTTAATTAATTATTACTAAAAGTGTGCATCGGTGTATGTTGTTGACGTGTAATGTGGGTGCCCGCGGTTGCATGATTTTGGCACCACGGGTGGCGCTGCATGACATGCACCTGGCCAATAGGTAGGTATATGCAGTATGCACGTGTGTCATTTCATTGGCCAGTGTCACGCTCGTACCGCGATACTACCTAACAATGCTCACTACACTTAATGCAGAAAAAATATGTTGCTCGCGTGGTGATTTATCGTTGTTCCATCAACAGTGAATAACGTATACGTACTTAGGTAGGTATTATTGTGGCCAGTTTTACCGTGCACGTGTGTACACGCTGTACTTGCTTAAATAAACACTCTACTCTACTCTACTTGCTACTATATGTAGTAACTGCATGTTGTACTTGTGCGTGCAAGTAAAATACATGTTCCTCTTTTTGAAGATGTTATTAGAAAAAATGAGATCTCTTGGAACTGAAAACTGATCTTTGGAAATGATATCGATTGTGAAAATATATGCACGTCGCGATCCACTGAAATGCGCACAGTCGATGTATGCCTGCAGAACAATAGTACTTACTTGATTCGCGATTGATTACAGGGAGATGCGCTGCCTTTCCATTGATCATAAGTTTATATTTGTTCCGTCGAAACCTCTTGGCGCCATCTGCTTTGTGGCATCTAATTCCTATTTTTTTTTCTTTTTTTTTTTTTTTCCGCTATCCACAGGTAGATACGTCTGTACGTCTATGGATTTTGGGGAATTTCCGTCGCTCGACGTTGGTAATTAGAATAATTTATAAGCCCACTGGGAGTATAATATATACCTTCTGGTGTGCAGCTCGGAAATTCTTTTCATTTTATTTCACATCTCTACAATCTAACATCGCAGTGACGAACCAAGTTGATCAAACGTTCAAACACAGCTCGATCGGATGGAAGAAAAAAGGCCTATGCGAAACGATATTAAATAAAAAAAATACAAAATACAATTTCGCGATGTCAAAGGGAAGTTGTTTTTTTTGCTCCTGTTTTTTTTTAACGCGTTTATCGGCGTTNCTACTATATTATATAGTATTTGTACGTCACTAATTACAAAAATTAAGAACCCATTTTTATTTACTTTATTCATCAGTTACACATTGAAGATGGCTGCGAAAAATAGGCCAATCATTAAAAATTTAAATTCACCACACATTAAATCAAACTTACAATACCCATACAATCGCTTTTCAAAATTAAAAATGTCTAAGATACCTTTATACCTTATTCACACTGGTCATGACATAATTCTGATATTAATCATATACCTTAACTCACTCATTTGATTATCAGCACCGATTTTTTTTTTTTAAATCATTTTTTCTAGATGTCCAGAAATATATATTTGCTTTGATGATTTTAGTTACTTCAAATACCACGATTCATTTAAAATTTAAATCTTCTTGTTAAAAAAACTTAAAAAAAAAAAAAAAAAAAAGAATTACCATAAAAATTTCCTAATAATCAAATAAAAAAGAAGTATAGCATCATCAAGAATGAAAAACTATCACGTTTATAGTCGTGTATACAACGAAAAATCACCTCGGGCAGATTGCCTAAATATGCAATTATGAGAGAGAACACGATGAGCTCCATTAATTAAGCGATGAATAGCAAGCATCCGTATAATTTATGGCCAAACCGATCTTTCGTTGACGTTGTCGTTTGTAATAATAATGTTAGACGCATATACAAAACGCGAAACGTATTCAATGCGCGAGACACGCCACACTAAGATTTATATCGAAGCTTGGTACAAGTCGAACAGAACACTCATGATCTCGCCTCGAAAAATCATCATTCACCAGAGAAGCCTAGGAAGAAAAGAGTGGACCGCCTTGAACGCGTGCAGCCGTCGCCCTCATTTTCTCCTCCTCCACTTTGAGCAGACTACAATTATAGTGTAGGTATAGGTAGGTACATGGGAGTGTTGTTATTGAGAGGAGATGCGCCCTCGTAGACGTACATCAATCCGGTGATTGAGCTATTTAAGTAGTACACATTCGAGGGCTTGGCTCTTATGTTAAGTA